ATTTGAATCTCAAATAGTCACGTAATTCTTATCTAATTAAAGGTCAGACCTATAGCTTTTTAATTATTTGAGCATCGATTCTCTTTATAGCCAGACGTTGATGATTTTTCCTGGAAATCCCTATTGAAGAGCTTACTCTTTGACTTTAAATGGCAAATATGGGACAGTTTTACCACAGAAGTTTTTAGCCAACGATCCAATGTATATCCCTATGAAAAAAATATTGCCCGACAAGAAAAACAAAATTACGGTTTTTAATATTTTTTCTAAAAAAAAATTCCCGAAGAGCCCCATTTGAAATTATTGAAACGAATATAAGTAACATCAATAGCAATTTGGTTAAGAATTACAGTGCACACTTTCTCCTTTTGTGTCTAGTAGTTTTCTTTTAAGATTGGTCCAAAAAAATCATAATAAAAAAAGAGACCAATGCAGGTATTTAAAGCACAGAAAAATAAAGTAAAATGGACTAAGTTCTCTTTGACGTACGTCAAAGGTCGAGTAGAAGTGGGAACTTGTATGAGTGCCCATTGATAGCTCGGTTATATAGCTTAAGAAATAATATGCTTAAAGACATTTTTTTTAAGTTGATAAATATGACATTTGTCCAGTTTGTTACACAACTACTGCCATGACCACAGGCAAAAATACTGGCTACAATTTGTCTTTTTGTTTGCCATATTACGTTTTATCGGTACACTTGCACAATATTCGCATTCGCCAAAGCTCCGCATTGATTATTGCGAATGCGAATGCGAATGTTAAAATTAATGCGGAAGCTCCGCGGTTGCGAATGCGAATATTCGCAACAACCCTGGTTGGAACATTACTGACAGTGCGGGCATAGTAAATAGAGGAATTGAAATACATATAGTATATTTACATATCGTCGCCTGGGTAAAAAAAAAGCTGAGATGCCACGATTGCCGCGAATGGACCAATCTGGAACAATTTTTATTGTGCTGTATTGGAACACAATAAAAAAATTGTCCCAATGAAATTCTGTACAGTCACACGGTTGCCTCTTTTTATACAATTCTCATTGCCGTAAGTTGGCGAAAAGCAATATAGTGACAATAATTGCCCCAAACTTATCACACGATTGTTCGAGCATGCGGCAATTGTGACCATAAAGTGTTGCGCTGACTTCTAAACTCTGTTTTTTTTTCTCTGTTGTGTAAAAATGGCGTATTCTTAATAAAAAAAA